CCGTTCAAATCATTGATTAATTTAACTTTTAACCTTGATTATGATTAATGAACAATTATCTCCACCCTTGATGAACAATATGTATGTTTCACAGTTTGTTTTGTTTTGTATTTTACACTGCCCTCACACCTGATATTTTGTGATATTTTCAACACATAAGTATCTTTAGGGAGTGAAATAATGATGTTTTAAGGTTGTGACGCTGTGGTTAATGGCCTAGTTTAGGCACAAAAAGCCACTTGATTAGAACTATGAAAAGATCATGGTTTGGGTTAAAATATCACTGGAGACAAGTTTTCAAATTCCTTAAAGAATATGAACCTTTACTGTCATGGCACAGTGAACACCACGATTAATTGACATGAGCAAGATTAAGTCCATTAGAGTTTCTAAATTCCGTTTCGATTATTCTTTCGATTAATGCTCAGCCCTAGTTTGTTGTAGATTCTTTGTTACATTCTGTTTGATATGGGTGGTTTTTTGTTTTAAATTATGTTGTTGCGTGTATTGGTAATATTCCTCATGTGCCCCTTGTTAACACGCTCCCTCAAGTTCTGCCCAGCCCTGGTTAGCTTGTTAAAAACCAGATACAATTGGTTTCAGAAAAATTTACAGACACCTTCAGTATTTTCAACATTATGTTGCAGCGCTTTTGCCTTAAATCATTTAAATGCATTTATCTTATCAGTCTACACTCCAATATTCCATAATGACAAATGAAAACAGAATTTAGACATTTTGAAATTTTTTTAAAAATTAAAAAACCAAAATATCACATTTGTACTAAGTTTTCGACCCTTTACGTATGACAAACTTGAAATGTAGCTCAGGGTTGCTTCCATTTATCTTGGTCATCTTTGAAAGATGTTTCTACAACTTGATTGGAGTCCCGCTGTGGTAAGAGAAGTCTTTTAAAAAGGGTATTTGAAATTAACTTTCAGATTCCGGCAATATATTCTGGTAATGTATTGATAAGAAAAAAGCAACTTTCAAATTAGGAAATGATCATTTCAGTTCTCATGAATGTTTGTCTGTAAAACGCCAAAGGTTTACATGGATTGTCTAAACAAATGCCTGTTTTCTCCCTAGATGGACAATCGGAGTTCTTAAGGAGGCTCAGCACCCAAGCAGCGTGAACAGACAGTTTGAAATGATCTGACAACAGTTTTGCTCACGGCAACTAGTATGTATTGCCCAAATTGAATGTAATCTAAAATGTTTTTTACATTTGTTTAATTTGCAAGAAATAGGTACAAGTTTCATGGCCATACCTAAGTCCAAAATATTGCTGACTCATGCTTAAGTTGTTCTTCACTAAGCTTGATCTCTCTGTGCTCACAATTGTGGAACAGAGTTAAAATTACTCTCATTTCAAACAGGCAATAAGTAGATTCTACAAGTATATGTTATAAAAACCATATGTTAATGTCAAATTTTAATTGCCATCGACGGAGAAATATGTTTGCTTTTCACTGTGGTGAAAAAAATAAATCCATACCATACATACACAATGTTGGACTTACCTTTATAACAAATGTAGACATCCTTGTTTATCTCTTTACGTGAGTTCACTTGTGGTCTATCCACACAGCGTAATCACCAGAGACATTTTAGCTCTTTTAGATGTGGTTAGGCAAATGCGGATGTCAAGGGATGAAATATTACCCTATTCGCCTAGCCTTCTCAGGGCACACCTCGGTATCAGAGTTGTATTACCCCTGCGACATCTCTATTGATGCTGTCTGGACAAATCCAGGTCCCATCTGTTTCCAAAAGTTGTGTATAGCCAACTTGTATCTTGAGGAAATTGCTTTGACACTTAGCTGCTATGCTAACGGCGCTTGCTATGAGAGCCAAAGTCAGAGCTGAATTACTGCAGTGAAACGAAATGGCATATCTGTCTGTTGAGTATCAGGCATAGCAATGCATTGAGTTGAGTATGTGCAGTCAGGCTCACACTGCATACTCAAAATTCTTGATAATTTATATACATGCGAGCATTTTCTGCATTACATAATCCACATACTATTGCAGCTGAAAACACTACATACTCTGACATACGTAGTATGAATAGTCGTCGTCGTCGTTGTTCCCGCTTATCCAGTATGATGGACAGCATCGACAGCTCCTTCAAGTTGAAGCCAAAACATCTCAATTGCCCCCTGGTGCTGGCCATTAATTATAGTATAGGACTAAAGTAAAAACATGGGGCCCAACTCAAAAAAAAGTACACGTATTTTTTTTTTTTTTTTGTATGTAGGAGGTAGTTCTTACGCTTGATGTTACGTTACAGATGAAAAATGTTTTTTTGTTTCCAGTTTTGCCCTGCAATTAATGTATATATGGAGGTCTAGTCAAATGTAGCTTACTGTAGAGCCACAGGAGCAAAGCGTTGAAAGAAAGTGCTCAATATTTTTTGGACTTGCAGTATGACATACGTAATATCACTTTAAAAGATAAAAACTGGTGTAGTGTTTACTTATTGCTAAACATGGCCTGTGAAAAAACCAAAATCTGCATGCCTTTTCTGTTAATAACTGTGGTCCATCTTCCACCGCCAGAAATATATATTCCATACTAATAGTAACCATTTTTGAACTCCATGGTATTCAAAAATAAAACAAGTCACAGATTTGCAATTTTCTTTGGTCTGCATAGCTTCTTTTTTTTAAACAATTTTTTTCAAAGATAACATACTTAGACTTGATTACAGCATCATTATACTGCGAGCTTGTCAATGTTTTGAAAAACTTTATCATAGATTGTGCTTTATGCCCATGCCAGATAGAGTAAGGAAGGGCTTTTCATGTACTGCGATGGGCGGGGAGGATCTTTTTTGGTTTCCTGTATTAGGGATTTGTGACAGAAAACACAAGTCATTTGGGCCCAGGTTCAAAATATTTGAAATATTCCTATTTTCTTTTTTCGCATATTAAAACAATATTTTGGGAAGTACAACACTATATTGAAACAATTGCGGCGCTATATAAAGTAAAACTGCTGAATACCTTACATTAACAGAGATTCGCCTTCGCTGTTTAATGTGTTAATGACTTACTATCCTTGCTTTTCAAATGAATTTTTTTTACAATATTTGTTCAGGTTATAAAATGATGTTAATACCCTAATTTACAGATATTATCTTTAAAATACTTATTCAATGTATTTTGATGTACAGTGTTTTAATTTTCCATTGTCCCAATTCTCTAAACACTTAACTAATGTTACTACTGTAAATGTGCAGAAATTCTATTGCATTAAATGGTACATATTTTTGTTATACAATGTGCCATTGATATATTTACTTGGGGAAACCAACAATTATGCAGCAAACTCAGTGGTAGACTGACAAGACGGTTACATGTGAAATGAAACAACCTAAACTACCTTAATCGTTTAACAGGGATTGAGCCCATTAAATGTAGCTATTTTGACTGTAATTTTTAAGTGTATCCTATTTTTCACTAGTCCAATGGAACATTTTTAAAATCTTGTATCTCTTAAAGTCAATATATGTACCATATTAATACTGAACCATGGTAGAATTTATCGTTGTTTAATGCATTGTGATAGATTTTAATACATTATTTCTCAATCCATTTACATGCAAGGAACATATTCTAAAACAGGAAATTTACTTAGATAGACAATGGCCATTCCATGAAAAAAAGACTAAATTACCCTTAAGTTACAGGGATTGGCCTTAAATGTAGCTATTTGATGTATTTGTAATGTATTTAGCTTGTTTTTCACTGCCCAATGGTTGTTTTTTAATGATACTAATTCTCTAAAACTGACACGATTAATTACTGTAAATTTGCAGACATTTATTCTTAAGTTTTTATGAACCTTAGTTCGTTTTATACATTATAACTTTGTTATTGTACATGGAAAAAATAAGTATTTTAACATGAATCTTAGCGGTAGATAGACTTAGCTCCTTTCCTAAAATAAATAATGCATATACTGTGAAATTACAGAGATTCATCTGAAAGGTATCTGATTGTAATGTTTTTTGACATAATATGCATGTTATTTTACAGTATAATGCGGCATTTATCAACTATATATTGCTGTTTTTAATTAATTTTGGACTGTTAAAATCTACTCTGTATTTTGACATATTACTGTATTTTACGGTATGCCGTTTGGAAACTTTGCTGCCCAGTGCTTTTACCGTTTTTTTAAATATCTTTAAAATACTGTTATTTTTAATGAATTGTTGCACTGTAAAAAATCATAATTCTGATATTTTATCAGTCATTGTACGTTAGTTCCGTGATATGGTGTTTTACTGTAATTGTACGGTATCCGTTTGGAAATTTGCTGCCAGTGCTTTTTACCGCTTTTTTACAGTTTTTTTTTTTACAGGTGTGGAGAAGTTCATATAGCTCTTTTGCACCACTGTCACTGGCAACTTGGTTCTCTGATGCAGCAGGCAGTCTGGGGAGCTGGCAAGAAAGCTAGAGTCTTAGGCAGCACAACAGCCTGAGCGATACCCACATAACAAAGAGGTCACAACGCTGGTCATAAACTTGTTCCTCTCTAACACAGTCAACTGCCTCGCCAGAAGGGGAGGGTTGGGAGGACACAGATGCTGATTCTTGGTGACTCTTGTGTCCTCTCCATCTGTCCACCAAAAACACAGATACAGTTTGGCAGTCTAGATGACAAGATCCTCTCGTGGGGTTCAGAGGGAGGAGATGAAGGAAATCCCCATCCACTGAAGCCTGGAGAAGCCCAGGTGTAACAGTAGGGGCCGTTCTTGTTATACTTCATCACTGGCAAAAAGATGGTATAAGCGACGCCTAAGGTTGACAATAACTCAATGATGGCACTTGAAGATGGGCTGAAAGAAAAGGGAACAGGGCAGGCAACAGCCAGGTAGGGAAGTAGGAACACATTGTCTTAGCTAACATGAAATTGAAGCAGTCGCTAAGCTGAAGCTGCCTAACTAACACAAGCATCCACAGCTATAACACATCTGCTATAATTACCCAGTAACACCTCCATCACCTCTTAGATCACTCTTACACCACATCCTCTGCTATTCTTAGGTGAAACTGTGTTTACAAACATCATAATACAAATGTATAAAAAAATGACAAAAGTACATTTAGCCCATAGCCTCTTTTTAACAGATAAAACAACAAAATTTGACGTATTAAGAGAATGAAGACAATGGACAAGGGATTAGCTCCTGATGGTGTAGTAATGGCTCAAACATTCTGAAAGTGTTTTTCAGAAGATGTATGTATAGCTGATGTGGCGAGCCTGGTTCCATCAATAATGTGAGTAAGTATGATGTTTCAGGCTGAACCGACCCAAAATAAACAATCCTCATCAAAGATGATAAGCCAAAACGTGACAGCTCTTAACTTAAAGATTTGATGGTTTCTAAAAAAAGCTTTTTTAGAGGAAGTTGATGTTTGAGGCACTGGATCACACTGAATTTTGAAAAGAGAATCTAATCAAAATGCATCCAGCTGTCACTCTTTAGAACAAAAATGAACAAAGCTTGTGTCATTATTTCAGAGTTTGTATTTATATTTCATATTCTTCACACGGCTTCTGATAGCTCTCTGCGTGTTTGATCCAGATGCTTTTTCTGACAAAGACTGTTGATAGAACCCAACACAAGAACACATTATTAGCGATTAATATGTATCAAGTGCACATGGACTCCAGTGGGAATATTTGGTTTGGATCTTGAAGCAGACAGGTCAGTCTCCCTCCAAATACGTGAGCTGACTGACTGAAGGCTGCTCATGTGTGGAATCTGGCTGCTATGGCAACAGCTGGCAGGTGGTGGATGCAGGGCTTTTGTAAACATGTGAAGTATGGTCACATGACACAAGGATGTGACATCAGCAGCCCTGCTCACCTTGGGGTGGTGGTGTGTTTATGTGTGTGTGTGTGTGTGGGGTGGGGTGGGGGGGCATGATGGGAGGGGAAAATTGTTTGCATTGTGAAGAAAAATAACATGTTTTCATTTACACACTAACAATGAGCTCCCAAGGCTCTGTGAAGACAAAACAGTCTGTGTGTTTGTGTGTATGTGTGTGTGTGTGTGTGTGTGTGTGTGTGTTTTTTTCTTCACAATGCAAACAAGTTTCCCCTCCCATCATGCCCCCCACCCCACCCCACACACACACACACACATAAACACACCACCACCCAAGGTGAGCAGGGCTGCTGATGTCACATCCTTGTGTCATGTTGACCATACTTCACATGTTTACAAAAGCCCTGCATCCACCACCTGCCAGCTGTTGCCATAGCAGCCAGATTCCACACAGAGCAGCCTTCAGTCAGTCAGCTCACGTATTTGGAGGGAGACTGACCTGTCTGTTCAGATCCAAACCAAATATTCCACATGGAGTCCATGTGCACTTGATACATATTAATCGCTAAATAATGTGTTCTTGTGTTGTTCT